TGTAAATTTTGGTGCAAATCCGTCGAAAATTGCGGCCGTGCATTCGTTACACACACACACACTCACACACACACACACACACACACACACACACACACACACACACACACACACACACAAATCCTGCCTTTTCTAGATAGAAATTGATTATTTTTAGTATGGTTTTGTTGCTGAAGAAAATTTTCAAACAACACACTTTTCGTTTTATTATGCGTGTGGAAAGATAGAATACTTCTTTTTCTAAGTAACGAAACCAGAAAATACCTGTTTGCTAATATTTCTTGTTTTTCCAAGCAGTTAGACTAATGCTAATTTTGTATCGCATATTCTTGCTTGGGGAACTTTATTCCAGATTACTTCTTTGAACTTTGATCTTCAAAAATTTAAGTGCAATGTCAAATGTTATTTTCCGTTTTATTTAATTCTTGTTCTTTTGCTAACAGTATTTTCCGCAAATTCCCTAGCTCTCGTTAACCCCTTACTGTCTTCATAGGCTTGCTTGGGGAGGGAGTGATTAACAGATACATCGATAATTCTTTTCAATATTTTGAAACTTTTTTTCTAGGCCTGTTAATCAATATATAAGTTAAGATTATTTTGTTTAGTTGCTGCTAGTAAATGTTTTTAGAATTTCTTTTGATTAATATTTTGGGCCATGACTTCTTTCCTTTTTTTTCTGGCTTTCCCTTGAACATTATCTTTGATATTCACCCGAAAACCTCAAAAGCCCGACATTGGAATAAAAATAATACAAACGCGTATTCAACATACAACTGCCAGCGAAAACCATGTTTACGTCCAAGACGGTTTTACAAATGCCAAAGATTTTTGGCAAGAAAGGATTTCTATTTATTTTTAGTTTTTACTCGACAATGCTCTCGCAAATTCATTTTTAGTTTTTCTATATATGCGTAGGAGAATAAACCCAACCACGTGAGCCAATTTCAAAGATTTCTTTCAGGGAACTCTTTTATTGTTTTTCGTGTTTCCGGCTCTTTTCCTCTTATTCCCTGTCTTGTCCTGTAGAGAAAAAGCAACGCTAAAAGTCATAAAAGACTGAAGAAGAAGAAAAAAATGGAGAAAAGACTGGATAATCTATGAAAACAATTATTTCGAATGTTTCTCCTCACAGATTATTTTTGATGATGACTACTCACGGCCTAAATGTCACATGACTTCACGACTCCCGTAACCTATTAGAGTCATAAATTCATCCTATGTACTGAAGCCATAGTAGCAGTGGTGTGTCTTGGGTAAAGTATCATAAAGGAAGCCCATTTCGCTTTAGACTTGTTTTTGTAATTCAGAGTTATCTTTCTCTAAGATTGCTTATATTCTCAAGTCAAGACAGTCCAGTTCGCTTTGCTTTTTAATCCATACCTTGATAAGCAAAGGTTCATGCCTTTTCCAGTAGTGAAAAGTGAAGGAAACCAATTCGAAACTGAAATAAACTTCCGTTCCGATAACTATTATATTATCCGCACCTTCTCAAAAAATAATAACGTCTTTCTTGGGCTTAAATTCGGGGTTTCATTATACAAAGTGTATTCTCTTAAAATATGTTTTCCCTTTTTGTTCAAGTACTTTAGACCGTCTTAGTCATTATCAAGTACTCTGTGTTGTCAGTGTGCTAAACAAAATTTTGTTGGCTTCATCATTGCAATTTTTGGAATGCTGGGATTCGAATCAATCCCTAGTGACCATATGTAAGTGGTTTAGACGGCAACAGTAAAGAAAGTATTATGCAGTATACGTAATCTTATTACCCCGTCTCCTGTGGTAAAGAACATTTTATTTAATCAAAGTAGTTTATTTTGTATAATAATGGAATTAGAATTTTGAGTCTTTCTTTAGACTGTGTTTTATAGGGTATTATTGTATTCTCAACGTGTATTTGTATTATATCAGTAGTTCTATTTTCGTTGTGATATGATAATCCATATGTGCCCGAATTGCACTAAATTTCGGTATTTAGTAAGTCAAGTTACGAGAGAATGTGGTGCATATGTGGCAAGTGTAATAATTAAATGTTATATTCTGATTGGTGATATCAGAAATACACTACCCTTGAAAAGATGAGAATTTATAAATAATATTGTTTTAACATTTTAGGAGTTCCGAGTTAACAATAATACTTACACCATTGTGAAAATTAATTGAAACAATCGATTTGTAACACTGCACGAACACACTGGAAAGCCTTACCAGTGAGAAAATCAAAGACTGACCCGGAAATTATCCTGATTTAAATCCAATCGGTCAATCTACAAAAAAGATGTACACTAGGTCATGTTTCATTGGAAAAATACAAAAAAAAAGTAAATAATAACGGAATTATTCGTTTTGTTTCAATTAATTTGCACAAGGTTGTATATCTATACCTTTTATGCGATTGTCACAGGATTGCACCACGTAAACGCAGATGGATCGATCACGTGTTTGCTTGAAGTGTGCACCCGCAGACATCCAGGGTAGCAATGTAGCTGCACCTGATGTCTAGGAGATTATCTTCTAGGCCAACCCCTTGATGCACTTGGCATCTTTGAGGCTCTGGTATTTTGATATCACCTTGTGGGTTCCCAGTACACACTGGAGTCAACGTAGATCAGTTCTCTTAGAACCAATTATCTCTGTTGGCATTACATTCGATTATGAAAATCTGGTCTATTCTGATTATAAAAAAATTACAGTGTGCCAATGATCCTCTAAAAATCGTTACTCGACTTTAAATTTCATTTGCCTTCAGTATGACTTTTGGGTGTTGCGATCTCCAGAACTTTTTTCAACATTATGTGTCACAGAAATTTCAATTGTGTCTGTTTGTTTTTAATTATTTTTTATTCTTAGCTGCCATGTTTTGTAGTTCCAATT